CATCGAAGGCAATTCCTGATTTGTTTTAATGTTGACTCTGTAAGACATGCAACACTGCAGAACCTTTTGTTGTTGGAACAGGGACATGGATGTGAAGAGTTTGATGGAATGTGTTGTATGAGTCTCTCTGATTATGCTAATTTGATGCACGAACAGCTGAGAACCCTGGCTCAGCTTACCCAGCAATAGTAAATGAGCAATATCCTAAGAATAACTAGATGGTTGTCTTCACGGAGCATTACAGGTTGAGTCAAACACTGTTGTTTGAAGTATTGTACTTATGTATCATTGTTAGGTTAATCATCGTAGCTATTAGACTTGTTTATAGTTGTGTGATAAAACAGGTGAACAGAATAACCCATAATGCCTTGCACATCCAACCTTGCCTTGAACACTGCCAGGGATAGGGCAGCCACAACTTCTCTAGGCACCCTGTGCCAGCGCCTCAGCACCCTCACAGGGAAGAGCTTCTGCCTAAGAGCTCATCTCAGTCTCCCCTCTGACAGGTTAAAGCCATTCCCCTTGGCCTGTTCCTACAGGCACCTGTCCTAAGCCCCTCTCCATGTTTCCTGAAACCCCTTTAGGCACAGGTTTATGGGGAAAAGTTCCTTTCTTATGGCTCTGAAAAGAGCAAACCAACACTAGTATCTTCTAGGCAATAATTTCCTATCCATCCATGCAGAATAGAAACCCCTCATCAGGAAGTTAATATCTGCTATTAGCAACCTTTATAAAAGCAAACACACAGCCAGGACACTGCCGACCTCCATTTTGCTTTCCTATTCTGTCCAGGAAGTGATTTATGCATGCTGAGCTTTGAGGCTCTACTGCATTAGACATTATTGACCAAGAGAAATGATTGAGGACAGGTTGGATGGGGCTTGCAGCAACCTGCTCTACTGGAAGGTGTTTCTGCCTGTGGCAGGGGGCTGGAAATGGGTGAGCTTTAAGCTCCCTTCCAACCCAAACCATTCCATGGTTGTATGAAAAGCTGCTTTCACCTCCTCACTTTTGAGTGGGGTTTCTGAAGGACCCCAACACATCAGCACAGTGAGCTGATGTTTCCCATTACTTAAACTGACTCTTCAGGCTATGGCCTGTGTTTGCTCTGAACACAACCCACATTGTAGCTGTGTCTGCCCAGCACCCATCACTGCAAGTGGAGAGAACCATCCACTTTTTCCAGAAGAAATCCCTGATATGGATGTTTAAAATAGATCCAAGCTGAATCAAAGCCCCCAGATGCATCCTTGTCTCTATAAGGGGAACCTTCTGTGACTAATTCAGATGTGGAAACCTACAATTAGATACTACCGCTCCTTTGACCAATGTGACTCAACCATCAAACCCTGGAATGAGAAATCATGAGTAAGCTGCAGCTGGGATGGAAAATAAGCTTGGCCTGGATGGACAGATATAAGTTAATGAAGAAGTGATAGGGTAGTTCTGGACAACACAGAGTCTTTGAGCCATGAAATAGGTTGGACATGTCTGGATACAACATATGGCCAGAAAGTGAAGTTCCACTGTGCTCCTAGGTCAGCATGGTGGCAGCTTTCCATGGTGCAGGCCAATCCAGAAAAGCAAAATGCCCAGCTACATCCTACGGAGGAAATAAGTACATTTCCTATGAGGAAATAAGTAGATGGGCACATGAAGCTGAGAGCTGGTCTTCATAAGGTTCCCTACCACCATGCTGATGGAGATGAGTAAAACACTCACAAAGAGCAGCTTCTACACGTTGGGGAAGCCCAAGAGGACAAACGTGGTCACACTCAAGTGCTTTCCTCCAGCCACTCTCTTGGCAGCAGGAGACAAAGAAACATGGGAAGAGGTTGAATCACTTCTCCCAGCTCACAGGAACACACAGTGCATGAGGTTAATGCAGGATTTGGGGTTAGGGAAGGACAGGACGCAGGGGGAGGTGGCACTGAGCAAGGTGCCACTGAGCCCCGCTGCGAGCGCAGGGGTTGGAGAGCCCCTGGCTGCACAGGCCTTGCACGGGGCAGTCGATGCTCTGGCAGCCACAGGGCTGCTCCTCGCTGCCAGTGCAGCAGATGGGACTGGGGCCAGGCTGCCAAAAGAGGGACTCCAGGGGCCGCGGCTTACCAATGAACCTCACAGCTGCCAGTCGCACGCTGACCTGAGCGTGCTGCAGGTAAAGCAGGCTCTGACGCACATATTTTTCTGCTCTGCTCTGCTCCTGCTCCAGCTGGAAAGAGCACAAAGTCCCAGAGCTGACACAGACCTTCCCCAGTCGCCTGGGCCGTTCCCTCCTACCAGCACCCCACACCTCCCCTTGTTCCCCAGGCCATGTGTGTCTCCCAGCCAGGAGCCCTGTGGGGCTGAGGTTCAGAGACAGCTGCAGGCAGAGCAGGGTCTGGAGCTCCTGAGAGCCCCCTGTGCCACTGCCAGGGCCCAGATGTGCCTCCTGCAACATCCTGAGGGTGGGGAGGTGAGAGGAGCACCCCGTGTCCAGCCTGGGACTTGTCCTCACCAAGCGCTGCACAGTTTGCCATCTCTCCAGTGTCTGCACGTGGTGACTGAGCCATTCCCATTTGAGCACCTTCGCAGCTGCACAGATGGCTTCCTGAGAGGCCTGCAGAGGGGGACAAGGATTGGGGAGATTGTGGACAGGGCTTGAGACCCAAAGGCCTGGCCCTCAGCACTTGCAGGGACAGCTGGGAAGCCCCTGCGGACTCCGCTCTTCAGGCCTTGGTGGTCACGGACTGCTGCTGAGCCCTGCTGGACCACGTAGGGCAGGTGTGGGAAATGTCTGTGTCAGCTGCTCCTGCCCTCACTGACGCCCAGGCCACCCCTGCGGGCTCAGCACACCCTGCCCCACACCACGGCTTAGGTTTGGAATCTGTACCTTGGCCACGCTCTCGATCTCGTCACTCATGTGCAACATGAGCGGGACCAGGCTCCTCCGCACCTTCTTCTGCATCTGCCGCTTGTCCTTCCAATCCGCCATCTGTATTATCTCTTTGAAGAGGCAGATGGAGAGCTCTTGCGTCTGGCTGCACTCCTGGTAGGGAGGAGGACAGGAGGGCTTCAGTAACAGCTGCTCCCTGAGCCAGGGCGTCAGCGTGGCTGAGGGGAGGGGCCCGGCCTCAGGTCTCCCAGAGCCATCAGCCTGTCGGGGAGAGGCTGGGCTGGGCTGCAGAGACCAGAAGCCATCCCCACGAGAGCGCGGGGGCAGAAGGAGAGGCTTAGCCCTGGGCAAGCGCTGCCGCCAGGCTGTGCTGCCGGGCAGTTGCTCTTGCAAAGGGCCCCTCAGTGGGACTCAGGTTTCCACAGCAACCTTACATCATCAAAGAGTTGAAGGAGCTTCTCGGCCAGCTCCAGAGCGATGGAGCTGGCCTTCTTCTTCAAATGACCTATTATGTTTCTGAACGTGAGCAGGGCCTTCATCTTGTTGTCGCTGTGGGCACTCTGCAGGGTCTTCATCAAGTCTGGCAGCATGACCAGTATTTTCCTTGCCTGTAAGAAGCACAGAATTTCTTTCTTGTGAAGTGGTGAAAGACCACCCAGGCCAAAATGCTCTGGTCACTAAGCACCAGCCTCCTGTCCGGCTGCATGGGTGGTGGCACAGGAATTCCTGCAGCAGCCTCCTGGCAGGCCTTGCCTGTGGGTGCACTGAGGGGATGGGGGCACGTGAGGGGACTTTGAGGGCATTTAGAGCCGTCACCCCAGGTCCCGACTCCCAGCCCAGGTCAAGCCACCGCGTTCCCCACTGCCCAGCACCAGGTGGCCAGCACGGCTTCACTTGACTATGCCCTGCTCACCGATGATTTTAAAGTTAGCATCTGCACTTACAGTGTGGAACGTTGACTATTTTATATAGTCACTCATATTAATTGTGTATATAACAGGGATGATATTTATTAGCCATCTCAATCAAACCAAATGACTTAACATAAAGATGAACACACATTAGAGGATTCACCCACAGATTGCATTAACCTCTAGCTCATAAACAGAGAAAAACATTTTCAGTATGATTAAAATCAAATGTCTGGCAATAAAAAATTAGGCATTTTTAACCCTTAAGCCCCTTTCTTATGCAAAGTCATACTTCAGGCCTTAAAAATTTTATTTGTATCCACTTGTGTTTTCTATTCCTGGTCTTCTTATCCAGGCTAGAAGCAGGCTCAGCTGCAGCCAGCCTGTTTTCCTGTCTACAGAGGTCTAACCTTTAAATGAAACCCCACAGAATATTGTAGATGGTAAATTGTAGACGGTAAATTACACACCATCTCAAAGAAGGCTGGGAAAGCATCTTGCAGGGAACTGTCAAAAATCAGTAAGATTGCTTCTGTTCTTCAGCAGTCCTTGACAAGAAGCGAAGTGTTACCTAGACACACACGCACACACAAAATACTTTCCTATCTCATAGGCATTCCTGCTAGTGAGCTTTGAACCAGGCTACATAGCTGGAAGTAACCATGTTGGAGATAAAACCGGATGCCTTTTGTTGATAGCAAAGACCTGGGTCCATTGACAGACGATTTCAAACCACTTGTTTTCAGAACACAGTTTTGCTCTCAGGCATCGCTTTATAATTTTAATACTAGTCAAATAATTGTGGCTTTCTATTCTCTCCTATGTGTACTTAAGTGCAGTAAAGTGCCAGAATAAGACATCTGTGCTGTCTGACTTGGGGACTCCACTCTGTACAAGAGCAGGAAGGGGTGTATTCTAATGCATGCTATTGATAGGGTTTGTGTGAGATCCCCTTGTAGAGATAAGTTCTCCTGTGCCCCTCCCTTGCCTCAGTTAACCCATGAATGCCCTGTTTTCCACTTCATGCTGGACATAATCTTTTTTTTTGCATGCAAAGGGTGTTTTGAACAAGAAGCAGCAGAGGTGCTTCTGCCAGGTTTGTGCCACCAAAAGCAGGCCAGACAAGGAGAATTTATCCTGAAATCTACAGCTGTTGAGAGGTCGTTTTGCATAGATGTAGTGTAGCCTTAATTAGTGGAATGCGTGGGCTAATTCTTGTGGAAATACTTTGTATGTATCTGAGGTATATGGCAACAGTTTTGTACCTTCATTTAAACAAAGGGAAATTTTTGAAGGACCCTTTACTTAAAATTTTCAGCAGGCTGACTACTGTATTTTGTAGCTACCTCCAGTAGGAATTCTGAAAGTTTTAGTATAGATTGGGTAAATATGTGTAGGTAATGTAAAATAATTTGCTTCATGTACTGTGGTTAACATAGTCCTTGAGTATATGAATGCTGTCCTGAATTTACTGAGGAGGTAGGCTCCCATCCAGTTGTCAGAATTCTTCTGAGCTGAGTTGTGCGAAATGTTTTTTTCCTAACTTAATGAAGTCTGTTCCACAACAGACATTACCAGGGGTGATGGATGCTGTATCTCAGCAGTTGCTCTCTGAGTGAAAAAATTGAGTATTTCAGATCTCATAAAACATTAGAGATGAGTTGTAGAACGCTACTGTTGGTGTGGGACTGCAGATGGTGCCAGTAAAGGTGCTGTGAGGCACTGGAGGCTGTGTTGTTATCCAAGTCTGGAAAACCCTGGGTTCTGATAACTATCCTCAGGGAAAATACAGTGAGTGCATGAAAAAAGCTCTGTCCTGATAAGGCACTGTATGTGTATCGAGAATGCTTTGGTGTTTTCTCCTACTGCTGTTGCAGAGTGATGGGGGGCAATGGAATTTGCTGCTTATTCAGTAAAAGATTCCCCATCAGGGTAGAATCACATGCACTGTGTTGGGATTGGGCAGTTTTGTTCACATAAACAGGTACACAAGGAATCACAAAACTGCAGAATGGTTGAGGTTTGAAGGGACCTCTGGAGGCTGAACTTGTGCAAACATTTTGTGATTTTCTTTATGAAAGACAACATCAGTAAAAAGTCAACTCTGAAACAAAACAAGGTCCAGCTCCTTCTCTTCTGTACAGAATATAGAATAATCACTGCCCCTAGCAGTGACTAAAAATGTGCAGAGGAATCAAATTTGTTTAGTTGCTAAGTGACTATAATAGGCTTTCAGATATTACTAACAGGGCATTCTGGGATAGCAGTAAACTACAGTAGTCCAGTATTAACAAACAGTAAGTAGTAGTGTAAGTAGTAATAGTGTTTTAAGTGTGAATCAGAAAGTGTAAACTATCCATTGTTTTCTAGGGAAAATATATTTTGAAGTTGTTTCTTCCCTCATTTGTACTAGTTGGCAGAAATCTAATCTTTGCACAAAGATCACTGCTTCATCTAGCACAGGTTTTGTCATGATATGAGGTACTAGTGTCTGACACTGACTGATGTTAAGAGGCTGTCCCCTTTCTAGAAGTCATCCCTACTGCTTGCGCCTCTCAGCGGTCAAGCCCAGAGTATTCAGGAGGTTTCAGGAGAAGCACTGCCAATGACTTCTAAAACAAATTTATTTTCTTTGTAACTGTGGGCCAACCTGCAATATTTTCTCACATCAGTAATCCTCTGGAGTCATTAAGACCATTCGTGTGACAATTTACTAAGCTTCATTTCTCTTGCTCTATGCTACAGATACAGCTCTGCTCTTTTCTCCCTTACAACTTCATTACAACTAAAACTCCATTTTTTAATCTCATTTGTGATAACAAAGTAAATCCTTTTAAAGGTTCATCCAGTTAAGCATATTCTTTTAAGGAATGCAATTTCACAGTTTCATGTTATTCTGAGCTTGCAAAGTGCCTTCTGACAGTAAAAAGTTGATCTCAGATTCTCACTTAAACAAGTAAGCATAGATCCAGTGCCTGAAAGTTACATCAAATAAAAACTGCTGTCTGAATAATAGAAGAGAAAAAATAATCTACCACTCTTCAGTACAGGTTTGCAATTGCGACAGCAGATGGCTCAGATACAGCAGAGTCTGGCTATATGGATAGCAACATTGTTATTCATCCATCAGCCTCATTACACCCAGGCAGTCTGGCTGTGCCCTGTTACAGGCGTCCTATTGTAGCCTGAGAATATGGTTTGATCAGGATGTATAATCCTGGCATTAAATAAGTACATTTTTCTAATGAGATTATTGTAAGGGTGATTAACATGGCATTCCAATTTCTGATCCTACTGTGATTAGAAGAAGAATGTATTCATCGCCACTGCATTTTGAATCTTTGCACCTTGAGGCATTCTAGGGACTCAGAAGTCTGGGTTTGCTTTCTTATCTGCATATTAAATTTCAAGACCAGTGATAGATCTTGATGATAGAAAAATAGTCCATAATCATCAGAAAGATTATCATTAAAATAATGACATTGCAAAAAGCTTTCAAAGCAAAAAAGAAGTGTCAACTTCTTTGAAGCACATAGGTTCAGTATTAGAGGAGGTTATGGATAGCTTTAATTTAGTAACTGAACTTAAATGGAAACAGGGGACATGCACAACTGGAATTAGGACGTAACGTTTAAGATTTTCAAAGAAGATTAAAAATATATTCTGTTCAGGATATATTTCATTGAGGATTGTTATACAATCAGGCAAGATGCAGAGCAGGGGGAGGGAAGCTACCTTTTTAAAGCTATCTACCTGCTATTTTTAGATGTTAGTAAATCCTTTTAATTTGTATTCAAAACACATCTGTAATACTTTTGTTTAAGAAGCTAGATCAGTTTCTGGGATTTATAGTGACTGAAATTACCAAGTGTTTGCTTTCAGATATGCATTTGCTGGAATACAGAGAATGAAAACAACAAATAAATTAGGAATATAGAGAAAGACTGAGGGGTGGGTTGCTGTGCCAGAAGGTAGAAGGTGGCCACCAACTGCAGTAAGTGGAGCCAGGACTATTTACCTCAGTGGCTATGGTGTACTCGAAGAGAACATGGGATATATATCAAAAACCAGTTTTGATTGGTGAGTACAAAATCTAAAATAAAGACTTGTATATGCACATACAGATACTCGTAATTGCAAAACTCAGAGCTCAGAAAGGCAGTGACTTGAGAGGACTGGAATAGGGGAGCAAGTCAGAAGAGACTTAAAAAGACAGGGAGGGGATCACATATGGCTTATATCAGAGAAAAGCTCACAAATTTGTAAGCACACCAAGAAGAAAATACTTGCTGGTGATGTGTCATGGTTTGTCCAAAATACAGCACTGCACCAGCTACTAGGAGGAAAATTAACTCTATCCCAGGAGAAACCAGGACATGAAACTAATGAAGAGAAAGCAAATTCAACAGTAGCTTAGTAGTGACAGGACAAAGTAGGTGTGATTAAATGGTAGGAATGCTAAACATTTGAGCCACATTGTTCAGCAAAGAGAACTACTGAGGTGGTTCCTGTTACATAGCTTGGCACAGATGTTCTTGATCTGTGTACCTCTTAGAACTATCAAAAAGCAGCCTGGCCATTCAAGCAGACAGCTTCACAAGAAATTCTTTGTTCTGCTGATTTACTGTTTAAGGTTGGACAAAGCAGCTACGCTTACTTTATTTTGCTCAATTCTAACATGTATTTGGAAGCATCTGTACTTTTCATGGAATCACAGGGTGGCTGAGGCTGGAAGAGATTTCTGGAGGGCATCTGGTCCAACCTCCCTGCTCAAGCAGGGCCACCTACAGCCAGTTGCTGACGACTGTGTCCAGACAAGTTATGAATAATCTCCAAGGATGAAGATCCCACAGCCTCTCTGGGTAACTCATGCCAGTGCTCGGTCATTTCCATTTCTCCATTTCCATTTAAACAGAACTGTATTTGTTGATGTTGTTGTTGTGGGGTTTGGTTTGGTGTTCTGTTTTTTGGCTTTT